ATTGGTGTGTGGCAGTTTTTATGCCAGTACCATGCTGCTTTGGTTACTGAAAGTTTTGTTATTGTGGCTCTGGCTTTGTTCTTTTATTCAGAACTGTCTTAGCTGTTCATGATCTTTGGTGGTTATACATCAATTATATAGTGTGGTTTTTTTCCTTCCGTTTTTGTGAAGAATCTCATCGATACTTCGATGGGGATCACATTGAATTGTAAATCACTTTGGGTAGTATAGACATTTTAATAATATGAATTCTTCCAATCCATGAAAATATCGTTCCATTTTTAGTGATTCCTCTTCAATTCCCTTCATCAGAGTTACAGACAGAAAGATAGACAGACACCCACACACCCCACCAATTTGTTTTCGAGACAGTGTCTCCCTGTGTAGATCAGGCTAGCATTAAACTCACAATTCTCCTGCCTCTGCCTCTTGAGTGCTGAGATTACAGGTATGCACCACCACACTGGGTTTATTGTTTTGTAATTTTTATTGTAGAGATCTTTCACTTCCTTGGTTAAATTTATTTATATATTTTATTTATTTATTTATTTATTTTGGTGGTACTGGGGTTTAAACTCAGGGCTTCATGCTTACTAGGCAGGCACTCTACTACTTGAGCCACTTCACCAGCCCTCCTTAGTTAAATTCCTGAATTGTTTCGGTATTGATTGTGAATGGAACCCCTTTCTTAATTTCTCTATCAACAAGTTCACTTATCAGTGTATAAAAATGCTTCCCTTTTTTGTACATTGATTTTGTATCTTACAACTTCATTGAATTTGCTTATCAATTTTAAGAGATTTTTGGTGGTCTGTAGGTTTTTCTCTATATAAAATAATGTCATCAGCAAATCGTCTGATCTCTTCCTTTCCAGCTTGGATTTCTTTCTTTCTCTTGTTTAATTGCTTTGGCTGAGACTTCTAATACTACAGTTAAAAAAAAAGTGGTGAAAGAAGGCATACAACCTTATATTATTCCAGATCTTAGAGGAAACCCTTTCTGCTTTTCTCTGTTCAGAACGATGTTGGCTACAGGGTTGTCATATATAACCTTTATTGTGTAGAAGTATGTTCCTTCTATGCCTAATTTGTTGAGAATTTTTATAATGGATGTTAAATACTATCTCAGGCTTTTTCTTCATTGATTGAGATGATCATAACGCTTTTGTTCTTCCTTCTGTTGATGTGGTACATTATGTTTATTGATTTGTGCATGTTGAACCATTCTTGCGATAAATCCCACTTGGGATTTATGGTGAATACTCTTTTTGATGTGCTCTTGGATTCAATTTGCTAAGTATTCTGTTGAGAATTTTTGCATCGATCTTCATTAAGTATAGTGGTTCATGGCCTTTTTTTTTTTTCCCTTCCCTTCCCTTCCCTCACCTCCCCTTTTCTCTTTTCCCTTCCATTTTCTGCCCTTCCCTTCCTTTCCTATCACCTTTTCTGTATCCCATAGTTTTTTTTTTTTTTTTTTTTCAGTTAGAGGGTTCATTCAGGTTTTTCCTCACTCTTTGACCTGCCTGCTTAGCTTTTGTTTAGACATTTGCAGGCCATGGATCTGTGACACTGGGAAAATCAGTAACTTCTCTGGGTCTGTTTCATTATCTTGATATCTTGATTATCCTGATCTCTGCCTCCTGTGTAGCTGGGATTACAGGTGTGAGCCACCAGTGCCTGGCCTAGTGGGGTATTTTTGTACTGATAAAGTGATTGTTTTTTCTTTCCATTCGTGTGTATGTTTTACCATTGAGTTTATTTCTATTGCATATCTTCATAGTAGTAATTCTCATCCTTTCACGCCTGGTGTAGGACTTAAGCATTTTTGGTAAGGTCAGTCTAGTGGTGATAAGTTCTCTCAGTTTTTGCTTGTCTGGTATAGTTTGGATCTGGAATGTTCCCCAAAAGCTCATGTGTTAAATGCTTGGTCCCCACCCTGTGGTGCTGTCAGAAGGTGGTAGAACCAATAGGACGTAGGACCTACTGGAAGAAACATAGATCACCAGTCGTGTGCCCTTAAAGGTAATGTTGGGACCTTGGCGCTTTCCTGTCTCTTTGCTTCCTGGCTACCATGAGGTAAGCAGCTTTGCTCTGCCTTATACTCCCCACCATGATATTCTGTCTTGCCACAGGCCCCAAATCAACAGAATCCACTGACCATAGACCGAGATCTCTGATACCATGAGACAAAATAAACCATTCCTCTCTTGAAGTTGGTTTTCTTAGGTATTTTTCTCACAGTGGGAGAAATCTGACTAACACATCTGGGAAAGGCTTTATTTCTGTTTCATTTCTGAGGGATAGCTTTATCCAATATAGTACTGTTAGACTTTGAGTATATTGTCTGATTCTGTCCTGACTGTTAAGATTTCTGCTGATAAATCTACTGTTAGTCTAATGGAGATTCCAGTATATGTGAACTGACTTTTTTTTTTTTTTTGTGGTTTTTAGAATTCTTTCTTTGTCTTTTACTTTTGACAGACTGAGCATGACATGCCTTAGAGAGGCTCTTTTTGATTGAGTCTGCATGGAGTCCTTGAGCTTCCTAGAACTGGATGGATGTCCCTATCTCTTTTAAGATTTGGAAATTTTTTTTTTTTTTTTTTTAGTGGTACTGGGGTTTGAACTCATGGCCTCAGCAGGCACTCTACCACTTGAGCCACTCTGTCAGCCTAGCTTTTTAAATTTAATTAATTAAAACAGTTTTTATTTATATATATAATTATTTATGGAGTATTGAGAATAACTCAGCTGGGGCCCAGGCAGATGTGAGGGACCAGGAAAGGAAACTTGGAGGGGTACAGAGCTTTGCATGTCCATGATCAGGAGAGGGACCTTGAGGACACAGGCGTCTCTGAAGGATAGGAACTCTTTACCTCTGTTAGGCTGAGATTTGACTTGAAGTGGTACGTGGTAGCCTCCCTCCCCAGCTGCCTGTTTGGAACAACCAGGCACTTTGGAGCCCCACCACGACTCTAGGAGGAGCCTCTAGCTGGCTTCTGCCTATCACTCTTGTACAAGGTAGAGGTAAGAGAAGGGAGCCTGTCTTCCATCTTTATGTTCTACAGTGTATGTCTGCTGGGTTGAATTCACAAGATGCATCAGCTTTGGCAAGCTGACTTCTTTGGCATCCACACTGGCAGGGCCCTGGGTAAAAAATCTTTTTTATTAATTGAATTCTTTAGCTCGATGATTTCTACCTATTGGATTTCTTGTTCACACAGTGAACTATTTTCCTCATCTCACTGAATTGTCTATTCTCTTGCGTCTCTGAGTTTGTTTAGGATCATTATTCCTTTTCAGGCATTTCATAGGTTTCTTTTACATTGGGGTCTGTTTCTGGAGATTTACTATGGTCTTTTGTAGGTGTCATGCTTCCTTAATTTTTCTTGCTTCTTGTGTCCCTATGTTGATATCTGCACATCTGGTGTAATAGTTGCCTCTTCTAATTTTATGGAGTAGCTGTCATAGAGAAGGACCTTTTCATTTAAATGGGATATAGGGTGTGAGGTAGGTACTTTTGCTTTTGCTCTGATTTTGCCCAGAAGTATAGTCTCCATGCAATTTCTCTCTCTCTTTTTTTTTTTTGCAGTACTAGGGTTTGAACTCAGGGCCTACACCTTGAGCCACTCCACCAGCCCTTTTTTGTGATGGGTGTTTTTTGAGATAAGATCTCATGAACTATTTGCCCAGGGCTGACTTCCAACTGTGATCCTCCTGATTTCTGCCTCCTGAGTAGCTAGGATTACAGATGTGAGCCGCTGGTGCCGGGCTCATAACTCAGTGTCAGTTATGAGGAACTTGTCCTGAGGCCTCACAGAGGTAAGCAGTGGTGATGCTGTGGTTACTTAGGGCAGCAAAAATTCTGGGGTCACCTACTGCTCCCTACAGGAAGATGAACTCTTTTAACAGTGGCTCCATTCCAAAGAAAGCACCATGCTGGCACCATGGCTGTAACAAGCTGGGCTCTGGGGGTAGAGAGAGGTCTGATTGTGAGTTTCCTTCTAGAGCAAAGAAGTCACGTACACCCAAGACAGCTTCCCAAACTGGGTTCAAAGCCTGTGATGTTTTCTCTTAACTAGGACTGCCAAGATGCGCCTTTCCTGCTTACTTCCTCATGGCAATGTGGAGACCCCAGCCAGGGAACTCGGTCCCAGTTGCAGTGCACTTTGTTTCTCTCTCTCTGCTGCCATTCTGCATCTCTATCAAAATTTAAAAAAAATATTAGTGTATTTGTAAAACTTTTATGGTTATTTTGAAGACAATAAATGCACAGCGATACTTTGTAGTCACTTTACATAAAGGTGATAGAAATGAAGATGCTACTTACAGTAGCATTTCTACGTACTTTGCAGCTATACATAGTTTAAAGGGAGGGTTGGGGGTTTGGTAATAGAGTGTTTGATTAGCAAGTGTGAGGCCCTGTGTTTGAAACTCAGTACTGGCTAAATAAATAAATATCCCCAAACCACCACCATCAACAAAAGCACCTAAAAGCATTGGTTTTGAAACCCAATCATGCCTTGCCTGTTTCCTCAGAGGAAAGGATGTTGTTACCAAAGGGATCATTAGGCATCTGATTAATAGGCATCTGTTGGGTGATGAGGCTGGTGATGTAGTGCTTTCCTGCATGTTTTTACCCTTTGTGTATGGAAATAAGTACATTTTGTTTAGGTCAACATTTGTTTACATTTCTATAATTATTAATGTAAATGGTCTTCATAGCTGAGGCATGAGATGAACTATCTTTACCATTCCTTTCTCTTCCTACCGTAACTTTTTGCTGCCCTTTGAAGTTAATAATGTTTTTTTTTTTAAAGCGCTGAATTTTTTGTGCTTATAATACTCAACATCACATTTTGACAAGTTGTCTACATTGGTGTTTGGTGGTTTCCCACACTATATGTTAGTCTCTGACCCCTGGAAAATGCTAAGGGTTGAGTTTGTCTCTGTGTAGAGTCACAGTTTCCAGCGTTAGCAAAAGTTTCTATCTGCCCTCAGCTCCACAGTCCTTGGGAGTCATGGCATGGGTTCCCTCCTCACGCGAGGCACCAGGAGTTGGAGACCACAGGTAGGGAATTGACTAGTGTGCTCCAGCAGAGTGTCTGGCTGCTGTTTTGCTATTTGGAAATTGAAAAGGGACTTGCACTTCAATACCACTAACCACTAATAAAAGCTCATATTTTTCTGAGCATCACTTGCCATTAGTCCAGTCCCTGGTGCTGAGGTCTGTACCAGATGGCTGATATGGGGTGGGGGCTGTGTCTTAGTGGGAGAGAACTTACCTGATTTGCACAAGACCTTGGGTTCCATCCCCAGCGCTGCAAAGAACAATTCTTGTCAGATGACTGGTATGACACATACCAGATATGATATCAGGCTAAATACATATTCTTGTTAGGATCAGATCAAATGGGATAGGATTATTAGCTGTTTAACAGAAATCAAATGACAGAGGAAAAAACTAATAGTGGAATATCAAGGTGATATGATTGGAAAACCGATCTGATAAAGAAAAGAGATCACCATGACTCAAAGGTGGGAAGAAACCTCATCATGAGGTCTAGAATTCTGGGACAGCAGTCAGAAATGTACCCTGATGCCCTGTCTCAGTGATGATAGGCCCAGTGGTTTCAGTTTTCAAAATCCCAGGACAGACCTTGGAATGGACTCAGCTTGGGCAGTTGTCTCCCTCTGGATCAGTGGACTCTATGTACTGAGGCCTTGGCTAGGGCTGGCTGAAGGTGGCACTACTGGGGCATATTGCACAAAATGGGGAAGCATTCCAAGCAGGGCAACCATGTCAGTAACATAAACTATATCAGTTTGTCAGTAAAACTGGGGTACCATAACTCTTAATGAGATAACACAGAGTTCTTTGCCAACTGAGAGCAATGTGGAACAGTGCACAGCTCAGGCTCCTGTGCATAGTGCTGGTGTTGCATCTGACCTCCCTGTCCAGTTTACAGCTTCCTTCTTCAGTTGAGCCCTGGGTAACCACCAGAAATGCTTCAGATTCATTGTGCTATTGTGAATGAGTCTCCCTCTATATGTTGGTGCTCCTGTTAGATGTTGCCCAGTCTTCAGAACTTTCCAGATGACCCAACTAGGTTCTTATCCTTTGTCTATCTGGGATACACCTGTCTTTCTATTCTTCCTACAATACTGTAGGATGGGATCACAGCCTTTTCACCCGTGTGCCTGCCCCTGTGTATACTGTGGAGCCTGGCCCAGAGTAGGCACAGATATATAATGTATGCTGAAATGTGCATAAAATTAATGTGTTTATTATACATGGATCCCATGTCAGTTATGTTCATTTTGTTTTGCCAGGGTACAGAGATCTGGTCCAGCCCTGTGCAGCCTGCTCCTCTGGTGAATTTGGTAACCTATCCTCAGCGGCAGCTGGTTGTCACTGTGGACACCCAGGGATTGATCAAAGTGTGGAATGCAGAGACTGGGTGTGAGTGTGCCTCCTTCTCCTTACGGACCTGCTCTTCTGTGATGGAGACCTGTGACCATCCACAGGGTCTCTTCCTGCTGGTGAGTGATCTGGCTTTCTGCAGAGTTTGGCCACCTCCCTGGGTCTGGACACTTGCACTGTGACTGCCACGATGGGTGGAGTCTTGAACCAGGCCCTCTGCATGGCTTACCACACACTCTGGCTCTTCCTTGCCCACTCCGGGAGTGCAGACTCCTGCTCCTGTCCTGCTCTACATGTAGTAGCATCCTGTTTCTGTAGCCGCTCCCTTTCTTTCACGGTGAGGGTGAGATCGAGCTGCGTGGACTCCTAGTTTTGTGGCCACGTGCCCTTGCTTTCTTGTCTGCAAATCTGTGCCATAGTATGTCTTCTACCTACAATTTCTCTTAATGTTCATTCCTATTTTCAAGACCTTGCTAAGGTTCAACTCAGAAAAACTGAGGGCAATGTTCTTCCCAGTCCTGTAAGAAGGGGAATGGTGAAGGCAGGTAGGCAAAGCATTGTCACTGCTTCTCTTTTTATTTTCTTGTTTTTTTGGGACGGGGTACTGGGGTTTGAACTCAGTGCCTCACCTTTGCTACGTACAAACTTTACCACTTGAACCACTCCTCCAGCCTTTGTTTCTGTGTTTCAAAGGGTTGATGCCTGTGGGTGGCATGGGTGTTTTTCCAGTAACCCAGAAAATCAGGATCTTTGTTACTATAGAAACATTAGGCAACAGCAATAGCTCAGGCATTTTCTAGGATCCTGGTGAAATACCTTTTAGGGAGTTAAGCACATAGCGTAGTGACTGGTCTCACACCAGCCACCACCTGATGGGGCCATATGTCACACAGATTACCAGTCTTTCCACTAAGTGTTCGGTAGAGTGGAGACACACAACCACTGGTCTCAGGGTGAGAGCCATTCCTGACCCTGGTGACAGTTCCACAGAAGACACAGGTAAATCTGGGGCAAGAACATGACCTAAGGTAACTTTAAAGAGGTCACTTCTGTCCCTAAATACCAGTTACTGAAACTTGGCTTGGTGGAACCCAGCAAATGCAGGACATAGTAGCACAGTACAGGCATCTGCTCCCAGCCAGCTTCAGAGCACGTGACAAGCAAAGCAAGAGAAGTGTGAGGCACCACCTTGACACAATGCTTGCTGCCCCACTTTGCTGTGGTTACCCTGGGGTGGGTGGAGATTGGGCTCCGCCTTACTGCCAACTCCTCACATGCACCAGCGGTGTACAGAAGGATGATGCTCCCATAATGAGCCTTTTGTTGAGGGAGCAGGAAAGGTCCCCAGACAAGTTCAAAATTGGCTCAAGAAAGTGTGACTGGGGAGTAAGAAAGGCCAAGTGCAAGCTTCTGATTTAGGGTGTCCTATTGCAGGTGCTGGTGACGTAGGTGCAGCTACAGATCTCTTCTTGGTTGTTCTTGAGGAAGTGTTTCCATTATCTAAAATGTTTTGCATCTTATTACTGTTTAACTTTGAATGTCTGCCATTCATATGCATTTGGAAAAAATTTGTGTATTTTTATAAAGTAATAATAGGTATTTCTACCTGAGTTGAACAGAATAGGAAGTCCAGAGTGGACACCTTGTGTAAAGTCTGTGGCAAAGATGGTCTTTAAAAAGTAGGTAAAAGGCAACCTGTTTGCAGATTGGAACACTTGCAAAACCCCTATCTCATTCCATTTACAAAAATAAATTAAGAATAATTAAACTGAGTGTAAAAGACAAAGGTATAAAATTGTTGGAAGAATAGATAAATGATTTAAAAAAATAAACAATCTGGGATATGCAAGGCCTTGCCAAGCAAGAGAAAACCTGGAATGAGAAAAAGCTATGCACATTTGACTTACTTAAAGAATTAAAAACATCTGAACAAAAACATCTGAACAATATGGTAGCATTATAAAATTAAAATATGAAAAATTATGGTCTTTATCTTACTTTAAAAAGGCCTTAAATCTTGGCATTGGTGGCTCATGCCTGTAATCTTAGTTACTTAGGAGACTGAGATTGGGAGGATAGCACTTCTAGACCAGCCTGGGCAAAAAAGTCTGTGAGATCCCACTTCAAGAAAAAGCTGGGCATGGCGGCATGTGCCCTGTTATCCAGCAGTGGTGGAAACTTAAAGTAGGAGGATCACAGTCCAGGCTGGCCTGGGCAAAAAGTGAGACCCTGTCTCCAAAATAACCAGAGCAGAAGGTCTGGAGGTGTGGCTCACGTGGTAGAGCACCTTCGAGCAAACTCGAAGCTCTGAGTTCAAACCTCCAGTACCATAAAAAAAAAAAAAAGGAAATATATCAGACCAGATGTAGGGCTAGGGAGGTACGGCTCACTGGCAGAACTCTTGCCTAGTAGGTTCATCTTAGCACTTGGGGTGGGGCTGGAAGCCTAGGTGAAATAAGTAAAGTTATAAGCAGTTAATTCAGAGGAAAAAGTGCAAATGCCCATAATATGTAACAATGTAGAACCTAAATAATTTTCAAGAAAGTGACATTAAGCTGGGAGAGGATGAGGCAGGACGATCACCAGTTGGAGACTAGCCTGGGCTACATAGGAAGACCTTGTCTCAAAAGGCAAAAGAAAAAGATTCTTCACCTACCACTCGAGCAAACATTTTTCAATATCAGTATTCTAAGTTGGATGACAAGACATAGGTATTTTTATACATGGTAAGGAGGAGTATGGTTTGAAGCTTTTTTTAGAAGCTTTTTTTTTTGTTGTTCAAAGTTTTAAATATGTGTACTCTTTGACCTAGGGATGTCCTGACAAAATCCTAGCCTCTGTGCACAGAGGTGTGGGCAGAAGCATTCATTGTACAGTGATTGCTTGAAGTAACAAAATTGTAAACAGTTTAAATTTCCATTAGTGTGAGAGGAAGTAAAAGAAAACGTCCACAAAGGTGGCTAGATTTTCAAGGAGTATTTTATTTTATTTATTTATTTAATTTATTTTTTTAATTCATATGTGCATACAATGTTTGGGTCATTTCTCCCCCCTTTCCCCACCCCCTCTCTCTCCCCCCCACCCCCTCAATTATACCCGGCAGACACTATTTTGCCCTTATCTCTAATTTTGTTGAAGAGAGAGTATAAGCAATAATAGGAAGGAACAAGGGGTTTTGCTAGTTTAGATAAGGATAGCTATACAGGGAGTTGACTCACATTGATTTCCTGTGCGTGTGTTACCTTCTAGGTTAATTCTTTCATCTACCTTTTCTCTAGTTCCTGGTCCCCTTCTCCTATTGGCCTCAGTTGCTTTAAAGTATCTGTTTTAGTTTCTCTGTTGAGGGCAACAAATGCTATCTAGTTTTTTGGGTGTCTTACCTATCCTCATACCTCCCTTGTGTGCTCTCGCTTTATCATGTGATCAAAGTCCAATCCCCTTGTTGTGTTTGCCCTTGATCTAATGTCCACATATGAGGGAGAACATACGATTTTTGGTCTTTTGGGCCAGGCTAACCTCACTCAGAATGATGTTCTCCAGTTCCCTCCATTTACCAGCGAATGATAACATTTCGTTCTTCTTCATGGCTTCAAGGAGTATTTTAAAATAAGCCATAGAACACAGGTTGCAGAATAGCACCCCAGTGTGATCCTGGGTGCCTTTGCTAATGGGGGGTCACATGCTGAACTTTGACCAGGAAGGGAGTAGAGGATTTGCTCTGAAGACATGTTCGAACATACCCTTTTTGTCTGTGTGTTTGCTTACTTACTTTTGCAGGGCCTTGTGCACGCTAGGTAAGTGCTCTCCCACTGAGCTACATCCCTAGCCCTTGTCTCTGTATTTGAAAAAATATTCTAAGGTACAATTTAAAAGTAACACACCCAGTGGGGGCAGCAGTTAAGCAGTTATCTCCACCCTCCAGGAGAGGACACAGCTATTTCAGAAGGCCATGGTGCGTTACTTGGGCCAGGAGCCTTAGCACCTCTCATGCCATGGTGCTCTGATGCTTCCTTTCTGTTCCAGGCGGCCTGTGCGGAAGGAAACCTCTATGCACTGATGATGCCTCAGCTGCAGGTGGTCTCCAAAGTGACTGTCTTTCCCCACTCCTCTGTGAATCTCGTCACCTGATCAACTGTGGGTGTTTGCATCTGCACAGGACTCAGACCTGGGCCCAAAGGTCAGTGCCTGCAGAGCTCTTTTCCCTACAGAGCCTGGCTCTGAGGGAAGAAGATGGTCTGGAGCCTTGAGTCTGTGTTTGCAAGTTCCTTCTTGCCCAGGACCAAGCCCTGTCGCCTGGTAGTAGAGGGCCCTAGTGGCTCCCTGATAGCCACTTTCTGCTCCTCATAGGAGTCAGCTCCTGGAACCGTCTCCTCCTGTGGCAGCTCAGGGGCTCGCCACCCCCAGCCTCACTCCTGGTGGCTGCTGTGCTGCCTGTGAGCCTGAAGGGGCCAGGCTTCTGCTGGGGAGGGCAGAGGACACTTGTAAACAGGTTCGGGTCTTAGAATCATCCTGATCAGCAGTTTGGTGCTAGGAGGACAGAGCGAGGGTGAGCAGTGAGGCACAAAGGAGGTGCTGAAGAGGAAAGCAGCTGTGCCTGGAGAATGGTGTGGCAGAGCTTTGCTGCGCCTCCTGCAGCATGGTTGGGAGTGACACCAGATCCTCATTCTCTGACATCCTGTTAGCCACTTGCAGGCATAGAGATGTGCAGTTTTTGCCAGCATTGAAGCGCCTTTTGAGTGCCAGGGATTAAAATGGGAAGTTAGACCACAGTAAAAAGCAGACAGTTGGCAGTAGAGCTGTGGAATGGGAGGGCCAGAGAGAGAACCAGAACTGTCACAGAGCAGGAAGAGACTGAGACCCTAGGGACCTGGTAATCAGGGATGCACGCGGTCAGAGAAGAACAGTGAGTGAGATGCAGAAGCCCCATGGACCTTTTCCTAGGGAGGCCTAGGAGAGAGGAAAGGAATGTAGGAAGACGTGCAGCACCAGCAAAATGACTACTGCTTTTCAAAAGTAGAGAACTGCTGTTCAGGTGCTTCAGTCCTGGGGTTGGCATGCCAGGATATCCCCAGCAGGGCCAGATGTGAGCTGGGATTAACCCTCAAAAGCCCCAGGACCATCCATAGCCTGGAAAGGAGACATGCAAGTGTCTTGGGTTTCCTGTAAGGCACAGTAGGGTGGGCGTGTGTGCATGGGCAGAGCCAGCTGCCTGGCCAGCCCCTGCCAGAGGCACTAAAATCAGGTTGGGCTGGGGGTTTTTCTGAGCTTGCAGGCCCTGAGAGGCCTCTTCCTCACCCGCACTGTGACCATGCAGGGGTATTTCTCCAGGTGCTCAGTCCTTGCTGGAGCCGTTGGAAGATGAGCCTCCTATCTGCACCACCCTCCCGGCCAGGCTGATTGTGATGCACAGAAATGACAATGGCACGCAGCTGGTTGTCACTACCTTTGAGTTAAAGGCTGAGAAGTTCAGAGCTAGAACGAACATTCTGGGTAAGGGCCCCTGTGCTGACCAGTCTGCAGGCTACCACCATTGCAGTACTGGCCTCCAGGGTAGGTTTCTTACATTTCCTTTGGGACAATTTTTCTTCCCTCTCGGGGGAACCTAGTGGCGTAGTGACCAAGCAAAAGGTTTGTTGTGATTTTTATGCACTGGTTGAGTGATGGAGCATTTGCTACATGTTGGACACCTTGTATGGCCCTGGGATTCCGACAGTAAATGCGCCTGTCCCCACGGTGTCCCCTCCTAACTCATCTTCCTGCTTCCATTCATTCCTTTTTCTGACTGTGTCAAAAGGCCCTGTTCTCAGCAGTGATGCAGACAAACATGAGTAAATGCTGGAACTCTCTTTTCCTCAAGGAATTCTTAGTCTGATAGCAAAACAGATCCAGAGCCCTCCCCACTGTCTCCCCTATTTCTTAAACCCCACAGTACTCTGACAGGCCTTCCCTATGGTCCTTAGCATTTTTTCCTTTGCCTTATGCTCATTTGTTTTCATGTCATTTGACTATAAATTCTACTTTGAGCTTCCTGGCAGCTAAGGAAAAAAGGGAAATGGGAATGTGTAATATACCCCTCGTCTGATACAAGAAAACACACAAATTCTTCACAAGAAGTAATTTTTTCTCCTGGTATAAAGAAGTGCTATTCAGTATAAAGGACAGTATCTTCAACAATAATTTTTAGCAGATATGTCATAATGCTTATATGGCCATTTCTTACACCAGCCGCCTTAGATGGGAAAGGGAAGAAGGCAGGGAAACCCCCGTCCCATGAATGGCTCTATGCACCAGATACTATTCCAGTCCCTTCACAAGCATAATGCATTGAGTCTTTACAACTCCTTGTGTATCTCACTATATTGTTGCTGATGAATTAGGACTTGGAGTGAGTGCGGAGGTTAGGGGTGAGCTGTATGTTTATACCAGACAAGCAATCTGTGTGCTTTCATTCCTCAAAGTTTCCCCTTACCGGACGCCATGATGCCTCCTCATCTCATGAAGGGCCCCGGCTCTCAGCTGATCCTATTGGCCTCTGGGTCAGAGCTGCTGCTATTTACCATACATGGCCTGCAGCTGGCAGCCTTCCAAGACCACCAGCAGCCCATCACATCCCTGTGGGTGGTGAGTGCAGCACCCTCTTCCCGTGGCATGCTCTCTGCCCTCAGGAGTCCACATCCATGCCTCACTTGACTTCATTTCAAGGACCCAACCTGAGTCATCACCTCTTCCTTGGACCTTTCCTTGCGCATCTATGTGTGGAATAAGGAGAATAAACTCCCGGTCCTCAAGAGCTGCTATCACTTGCTTGGGGGATCCCACAGATGGGCCAGGTAATTGGCTGTTTTCCTTCACTTTGCCTGTAAAATGGCAAAGCAGTGTTTTTGTTTGCTTGTTATATTTTGAAACAAGGTCTTACTGTATTGCTCAGGTTGGTCTTGAACTCCTGTGCTCAAGAGATCTTCCTGCCTTGTTCTTCTGAGTAGGAGTAGCTGGGACTACAGGTGCATGCACTGAATCTGCCTCAAAGCAGTTTCTTGTAGGACATCTTGGAAAAGGACATGTAGGACTTAGAATCATAATCCCAGCCTTTCCCTTACTAACTGGGTCTTGAGGCAGCCACTACTCACAGTCTGTCTCCTGTCCTGTTCAAAACCAGATTTCTAGCTGTAGCTGTGCAGTGTATGCGTTACTCCCTCTAACGTACAAAGCCATCACACACACTTGGCATCACCCATGCTGACAGGTGAAACAGAAGCTGAGAGATGTGGGGATTTTGTCTAAAGTCCCACAGATTATTGAAGCACTATTCACCATAGCCCAGTTATGGGAACAGCCAAGATGCCCCACTACTGACGAATGGATCAAGATAATGTGGTATCTGTACACAATGGAATTTTATGCAGCCATGAAGAAGAACGAAATGTTATCATTCGCTGGTAAATGGATGGAATTGGAGAACATCATTCTGAGTGAGGTTAGCCTGGCCCCAGAGACCAAAAATCGTATGTTCTCTCTCATATGTGGACATTAGATCAAGGGCAAACACAACAAGGTGATTGACTTTGATCACAAGATAAAAGCGAGAGCACACAAGGGAGGGGTGAGGATAGGTGAGACACCCAAAAAACTAGCTAGCATTTGTTGCCCTCAACGCAGAGAAACTAAAAGAGATACTTTAAAGCAACTGAGACCAATAGGAGAAGGGGACCAGGAACTAGAGAAAAGGTTAGTTTGAGAAGAATTAACTTAGAAGGTAACACACATGCATAGGAAATCAATGCGAGTCAACTCCCTGTTCAACTCCCTGTATAGCTATCCTCATCTAAACTAGCAAAACCCCTTGTTCCTTCCTATTATTGCTTATACTCTCTCTACAACAAAATTAGAGATAAGGGCAAAATAGTTTTCTGCTGGATATCGAGGGAGTGGGGTGGAGAGGGAAAAGGTGGGGGGGTTAAGGGGGTGTGGGGGACGGGGGAGAAATGACCCAAACAGTGTATGCACATATGAATTAAAAAAAAAAAGTCCCACACAGAATGCATGACTGAGCCTAGGTTGGACCTTGACTCTGATCTCGTGGAAAACGACTGTACCCATGAGCTCCTAAAATTACATCTCCTTCAGTCAGGAGAGCAACAAGAGGGGAGAGGGGAAATAAAGAAAAATGGAGGGGGTGAATTCAAGTATGATGTATTTGACATATTGTAAGAACTTTTGTAAATGCCACAGTGCACCCCTACCCAGCACAACAATAAATAAATAAGTAAATAACCAGAATAAAGCAAGTTAATTCATGTGAAACAGTGAGCAACAAGACCAAGACCAGCCAGAAGTTTCTTAGAACAGTTAGAATCACTGTGGTTAAGGTAGCTGCTATTAGGAGAGCCCTGAAATGATATTTCCACTTACGAATGTGATAATGTTTTCCAATTATGACAAACACATTTAGATCCTAAAATTAAAGCCCGGAGTAAACAAGAGAGATTGGTTGGGGTGGGAGAAGATACAGAGGCTGAGCTCCATCTTCCTGTAAAAGCCTCTACTATTTAAATGTTTGTGCGTTTTCTTTGCAGTGGATTTATCCATGTGAAAAGTGACGGTATGAGCACTGCGGGCGTGGAAGCCACAAGCATCCTGAGGTCGCACTGCTTCAAAGCTCAGCGCAGCTAAGAGGATCGCACCAGCTGAAGATGGTCTCACTTTGGTAAAGCGCTTGCATGCATACAAAGCCTAAATTATGTTACCAGCATTGGAAAAGGAATTGGTAACTCTCAGATGCCTGCTGTGCACCAACTGCACTGTGCTCTGTGACTTGACTTTTAAATCCTCATCAGAAGTCAGTGAAGTAAGAACTAGTGTTTGTTTTTCTGATAAGAAAATGAAATACAAGAGGAGAGTAATTAGCCATTACTGCCCCCATTTTCCAGCCATTAAGCAGTCGGCCTAAGATTTTTCAGATTGTAAGTGGAAGACAAGAGTTGAACGTACCTGATCAAGGGCAAACACAACAAGGGGACTGGACTTTGAGCACATGATAAAAGCGAGAGCACACAAGGGAGGGGTGAGGATAGGTAAGACACCTAAAAAACTAGCTAGCATTTGTTGCCCTTAATGCAGAGAAACTAAAGCAGATACCTTAAAGCAACTGAGGCCAATAGGAAAAGGGGACCAGGAACTAGAGAAAAGGTTAGATCAAAAAGAATTAACCTAGAAGGTAACACCCACGCACAGGAAATCAATGTGAGTCAAAGCCCTGTATAGCTATCCTTATCTCAACCAGCAAAACCCCTTGTTCCTTCCTATTATTGCTTATACTCTCTCTACAACAAAATTAGAAATAAGGGCAAAATAGTTTCTGCTGGGTATTGAGGGGTGGGGGAGGGAGGGGGTGGAGTGGGTGGTAAGGGAGGGGGTGGGGGCAGGGGGGAGAAATGAACCAAGCCTTGTATGCACATATGAATAATAAAAGAAAAATGAAAAAAAAAAAAAAAAGAGAGTTGAACATACCTGACGGCACTAGAAAGCCTATGTTTAAATGATTAGGATTATAATGTAATTGTTTTTGTTATTCAAATATGTAACGAAGTAAATACTGTTTATCTTCCTAGTCTGTGTTCTGTCTTGTAGACACACATTGACACATAGTTCTTGCTGTCACTAAGGTAGATTTTGTGGGACCATGCTGCATAACTCTAGAACTGCCGTTTTTGTGTTGTCTTCGGCGCCCCCTGAGTTGGTCAGCATGGAAGCCCTGGCTGGGTTAGTAGGTGAGTCACACAGAGTTCTGAACTACAAGCAATAGGTGCTGATACTGACCAGCTGAAACTGAAAAGCAGCCCAGGAGGCAGTGAAGTAGTCCACTGTCAATGGGAAGGATGGAACCAAGGGCAGCCAGGAAGCAGAACACAGGGAAGACTTGTTCCAGTGGGTTTGGCTTGAACTGTCCCTGGCTCTGTGGTGTCATCACCATCATTTCCTCAGGCTTCACCCTTTGCTGCTGCATCACTCATTTCTTGTCACTGATCAGGTAGCACAGCCACCACAGAAAAACTTCCTAGCTGCTCCTAATTCAGAACGCTGTGTATGTGTGTGCACGCACACACTTCTGTGATTTGTTGTCCTTAAATCCTGCACCCACACTATCAAGGCCAGTTGGGAGAGAAGGAAAGTCTGACTCCTTCAGCTTCAATAGTAGATGTTCCTGATAATTATTCACATAGTGGAAAATTCTTCAAAAATAGAAAGGAAAAATTCCTCAAGAATAGAAAATAAGGATTAAGAAGCTGTTTACTTGCCCAATGTGCCATTCCCTATGTTAGCTCTTTAAAGGCAGATTTTACTTACGATAGCTAGCAGCGACACTCTGCATGACCACGGCTAAGGCCAGATGGAGTCACTGCCTGAGGTCTTCATTAGCTCTTGAAGCTGTCAGGGTGGCATCCTCTCCTAGTTCCATCACAGTGCTGTGTGATGTTCTCAGACTCCTGGCCTGAGTGGTGAGGATGATCAGGACTGAGGCATCTGTAGACTGCAGGGAGGAAGGGGACAGGGACAAAAGAGTAAACACAAATACCAAAAGAGCTGACACAAATACCATGGCACACCAAGAAAGATAAGTACAGTTACATGAAGATGAAAGGAAGATCAGGTAAGTTGAGAACACAGAGGTTTTTGTTGAAGTCACAGGGAAAGGGATTGAGGCATCAGCAAGAGATTGGACTCAAATAAGGGAATGTTAAATTTCCAGGTCCTCCTGAGAAGGACGCCTGGGACTGAGGGCCACAGATGCAGTTCTCTTAAGTCGTAAGGGGCAGGTGATGATCAGATCCAGATTTACCCTCCTTGAGAGGCTGTGTGTGAACTCTGACATTAGAGGAATGTGTTGGCCCGACACAAGAACATGGAGCTCTATAGCACTCTAGGGATCCTTGCTTGGGGCTGTGTGGCAGCTGAGTAAGGGCAGTCTTAAAGGGAACACAGAAAGCTCTGAACTTTTTTTGGGGGGCAGTACTGGGGTTTGAACTCAGGGAATGCACACTTGCTAGGCAGGCGCTCTACCACTTGAGCCACTCTGCCAGTGGAACACAGGAAGCTCTGATACTAAGATTGACAAGAGTAAATCTTGCTGAAGGTGTATGCTGAGTCTGGTAGACATACTCTTATCAGGCCAACATGGTCTCTGGGTTGTGGTGCCCTGGTCCTAGGGAGAAGCGCCTGGAGAATATGCCACACTCTGAAGTTCTCCATCTGCACATTCTGGAGGTTGTTTCCATGGCATAAGCAGCTCTGCTCCTGGAGGAGTGTGAGGCCCATAGAAGTTCCAAAGAGCCTTCCTCAAGTTCCCTCATTAACCAAGTTAGAAATAAGGTTAGGGTGATGATTATCACCTTAATTAAGTATTGCCCTGGCAGTGCTAACACATGTAGGACTTACAAAAATATATTTAAGTTCTAAAAATCTTAGAAGAGTTATATTTACCATAATTTCTAAACAGCATTGTCTGTTTTAGAATCCAAAGAAAACCTTTAGAATTACTAAGCAAAAATTCAGCATGACTATAGGTTATCTACATATTAAAGTGAGTGTACCAAAGACAGAAGATTCGAGGCACCTAGCCCTTTCCTGGGTCTCCAAGAATTTGAAACAAAATGTGTGTGTGGCTGTTGGGAGAGGTGGGTGGTGAGAAAAGGCAAGGGAGAACAACAGTAGACTGAGATCAGGTGAAATTCAGAAATATTGAACTTTAGATTTATAAAAGAAACAATAGACCCTAACATAGAGCAGTAAGAAAAGTAATAGGGAACAGGGAGAACCCCAAAGCTGGGCTCCAAGCAAAAGAGAAAGGGAAAGCCTTGGGAAGCGTCACAGGTGCAAAAGCTGACACTCAGCAGAAGTGAAAGTTTAAGAGGGAGAAATGCATGCCATGCACCAAGGAGATGCCTGCACTTCCTAGCTTGTTCACTAGCGCCCTAAAGAAAAATTGTCTTAGGAGAGGTCTTAGAATCAAACATCTTCACTAGGGAGAGCAGAAGACCTCTTATTTTCATACCGCCAAACCCCAAAGGCCTTTCCCCTCTACTGGCTTAAATGAGTGATTGCCCTGAGAATCAGTGTGGACCCAGGAAACTGGTTGCAACCTTGACTCAAGATCCACAGACATGGATCTATTTGGGTGGGAAGAGCAAACTGTAAGCCATGCTGCAGAGGGAAGCTATGAGGGGGCATTAGTGGAACTACAGCCTGAACTCCAGTAAGAGGAGAAAGACCAGGCATGTGTGAATACAAGCAGGACACTGTGATAGAGAATTGTAGGGAAAGCAAGGAAAACGCAAGGGAGGGCAACAAGTGGTAGGGAAGGGGGCTAAACCCCACCAGGCTTGATTGCTGTGTACACTCCCAAGGGGCCAAAGAGTTTGGTAGAAAGCAGCACTGCTCAGGAATTTCCCATATCAAACCAACACGGGCAGAGCACCTCTGGTATGAGAAGGTATCCAACAGTTGGGGGAGGAGGGCCTGGACTCAGCTTGAGAGCACTCTGAGGAAGGCTCCTGCACAGAAATTGAACCCAGCAGAGAAGACAGCACAGATCTCAGCCTGGTCTTCTCTAGCCTAAGTTGTTAGGACTTCAGAGAGAAAAGGAGCTGTCCCTATCCCAAGGTCAACTGCAAAAGACAAGCCGGGGGTGTGGTACTCCATCCTCTTCTTGTCAGAAAGGAAGAACTATTGACTGCTGCTTTTTAAAAGCTGTTGTCTCTTTGTACTTATTTTATTGTATTCTCCCTCACTATTGCTTCTTTTTCTTTCTTTTTTTTTTTTTGTAGCATCAGAGTTTGAACTCAGGGCCTCATGCTTGCTAGGCAGGCACTCTGCTACTTGAGCTACTTCACTAGCCCTCTGTCATCATTGTTTTCTATATCTTTATCTCATATACTTTTCTCTTTCCTATCTTGCTTTTTCTTTTTTCCTTTCCCTGTTTCTCTTCTTTTTATTACTTATTAGTACCTTCAGTTTTAACAAATTTTAAACTCCTAATTTATACTATAGGTACCCTAGTTCCTTTCTTTTCTAACTTAATTGAGTAGTTGATGTTTCTCATCCGTAACATTGAAAACACATAGACAACTGAGAGATATCCAACCCAACCGATGTGCAAATTGCAACATAAAATACAAGAAATATGAAAAAGAGAACTATGACTCTTGTTGAAATGCTGGACAAAGAATTCAACAGACTAGTTTTAGAAATGATGAATGACCCCAAAGAGTATTAAAATGAACAGATAGATGAAGTAAGGAAGTCAGTTCAAGACCTGGATGAGGGGCTGGGATGTAGCTCTGTGGTACAGCGCTTGCCTAGCATGCGTGAGGCCCTGGGTTTGATCCCAGCACCAAAAAAGAAAAGACAAAAAAACAAACAAACAAACAAACAAAAAAAGACCTGGATGAGAAAGTCAGCAACGCTGATGAGAAATTCAGGAAATAAATTGAGATTCTGAAAAAGATACAAACATTGGAAATGAAAAACTCAGTAAATCAAGTTTAAAATATAGTGGAAAGGATCATCAATAGAGTAGATCAAGCAGAAGAAAGAATATCAGGTATTGACTAAAAAGTTAAGGAAATACTACATTCAGACAGCAATAAAGAAAAAAAGCATGACCACAATTTTCAAGAATTTTAGGACATGAACAAGAAACCAAACCTAAGAATACATGAGGTAGAAAAAGGATACAAATTAAAGGCATAGAATTCAGTGAGATTATAGCAGAAAGCTCCCCAAATCTAGGAAAAGATATGGACATCCAAGTATGGGAGGCATTTAGAGCCCTAAATAGACATAAACATGAAAGAACTTCTCCATGTCACATTATAGTAAAATGCTAAGACTACAGAATAAATAAAGAATATTGAAGGCTGCAGGAGAAAAATGGTAACTTACTTAATAAAAGCAAACCCATCATAATCACACCAGACCTCTCAACAGAAAGCATGGAGTGATATATTTAAGCTCTGAAAGTAACTGCCAACCAAGATTACTATATCCAGCAGTTATCCTTTAAAATCGGTTAAGAAGTAAAGACCTTACAAGCTAAGCACAAGCTAAAGCAACTCATGACCACTAAGCTAGCATTTCAGAAAATACTGAAAGGATTCCTATATACAGATGGGGGAGAAAGACGGTCACAAACACAAAAGGTTAGGAAAGCATACATTTCATGAGAGAATATAAAGACCTTAAAAGATCTATAAAGAACAATGATATTAAAGCAGTAACAAAATCTCTGGATCAGACAGATGAACTGCTGAACTCTAAGACCTTTAAGAAGAACTAAAACCAATGCTCCTTAAATTATTTTGCAAAATAGAATGGGACAGAACACTTCCATAATCATTCTATGCAGCCAGTATTGCCAAAACCAGGTATGAACACACACACACACACACACAATGAAAAAAATTAGGCCAATTTCCTTGATAAACACAGATGAGAAAATCTTTAATAAAATACTTGCAAATTGAAGTAAATACATTTAAACCCTCATACACTATGGACAGGCTGGTTTAATTCCTAGAATGGAAGGATGGTTCAATGTGTGCAAATTAATAAACCTAACACAGTACCTAAATAGAATTAGGAACAAAATCAGTGATCATCTCAATAGATGCTGAAAAGGCCTTTGACAAATTCATCGTCCTTTCATGGTAAAAGCCGTGAAGAATCAAGGAATAGAAGGAATGAACATGTCAACATTATAAAGGTTGTATATGACAAACCTAGGGTCAGCATTGTACTGAATAGGGAAAACTGAAAGTATTTTCTCTAAAGTCAGGAATGAGACAGGGTGTCCACTCTCATCCACAGTATTGGATATGCAATATAGTGCTTGAGTTCTTAGCCAGACCAATAAGGCAAGAGAAAGAAAGAAAAGGGGTACGAAATAGGAAAGGAAACTTTGAAGCTACTAGAGGAAAACATTTGAAGATATAGGCAAAGGCTTTTCTGAATAGAACTCCAATAACACAGAAAATAAGGGGAAGAACTGAAAAGTAGAATTCCATCTGATTATAAAGTCCTGCACATCAAAGGAAATAATCACCAGAATGAAGAGCCCACAGAATGGGAGAAAATTTGCCAGCTATTCATCCAACAGAGAATATCCAAAATGTCTAAAGAACTCAAAACATTAAACATGAATAGTCCTGTCAATATGTGGGGAAATCAATTGGCTAGTTCTCAAAAGAAGTGCAAATGGCCAATAAATACATTTAAAAATGTTCAAGGTCCTTAGCGATAGAGGAAATGCAAATCAAAACTACACCGAGATTCCATCTTACCCCAATCAAAATGGTTATCAAGAAAACAAACAACAAATGTCGATGAGTCAGTATGCAGGGAAAAGGGAACCCTTATACGCTGTTGGTAGGAATGCAAATTCGTGCAGCCACTGTGGAAGTTCCTCAGAATATTAAAAATAGACCTACCCTGTGATCCTCCTGTGCCACTCCTGGGCATGTATCTGAAGGAGTGTAAGTTAACAAGCAGCCGAGAGACCTGTACACTCGTATTTTTAGCAGCACCATTCGTAATAGGCAAGCAATGGAATTAGCCTAGTGACCATCAACAAATGAATGGCTAAAGAAAATTTGGGATGGGTGCCAGTAGCTTCACACCCGTAATCCTAGGTATTTGGGAGGGTGAGATCAGGAGGATCGTGGTTTGAGGCCAGCCTGGGCAAATAGTTTGTGAGACCTCATCTCAAAAACCAAACAAAAAACCCCAGCGAAAATGGATCGGAGGTGTGGCTCAAGCGTTAAGAGTGTCTGCTTTGCAGCACAAAGCCCTGAGTTCAAATGTCGGTCCCACCAAAGTGCCAGTCCCTGATAAATGGTGCTGAATGAAAGGTTAAGCATCAGTCTGTGCTACCAGCTGGACTGGCCTTTAGTTGTGGCAGCTATCAGAACTGATGAAGGAAGGGGTGGGGGAGCTGGCCCAAACAATGCACACACGTGAGCAAATGTAAAAATGACCAAATAAAAAAAGGATTGATGAAGAGGCCCTTTTTATTTGGCCATAATTGCTTTTATCTCTTCAATTGTGTACATGGGCGCCTTGCACAAAGACAAGATTGGTGACAAGACAGGCTCCCCGATAGGTGAGCCTATGTCATCCTATTCACCTGCTCATTGAGAGCCTTCTCTGCAGTGCGTGGCCTCAATAGACATCACATCTACAATTTAAAAATGCATGTTATTTGCAACTACCCAGGAAACATTTACAAAAAGTGAAATGTG